ACCAAGAATTTGAAAAGACCGTGTAGCTCCAGTTCCTCTGGGCATGTCCACCCAACCATGAGAGACTCCTCTAAAAGCCATTTGTGAACGAATTGAAATGCATCGAATTCAAGATGTCGCTGTATGGCTTGGACAATAAGATTTTGTGCACGGAAAGGGATGCTTGTTATTGGAACTCCAAGAAGTGAGTATAGACCTTGTAGGACTGTTGTTCGAGCCCATAGATTAGTTGGCGCGCTCCTAAATTTGTAACTTGAACTTACTGAAGATGGTATCGATCTTCCCTCGGCACCATTCAATCAATCGTTTTACCAATCTGAGAGCAGTGCGTTAGTAACAACTTCCAAATTGGGAAGACTTGTCGTGAGTTCTTACCGCTTACTCACAGGATGAGATAGCCAAGAAGATCTGGTCGAAGTGCCTCCGGCCACATACCGACTTACTGTGAAAGAAACAGTGCTAGTCTCGGACTGGCCTTGTTTGTTGGTCGCTGTATCATTCTGATTCCACTGCATAGAGGCACTTGGATGCGATCGCACTTCATACGATTGGCCGCCGCGCGGAACATCCTTGGCTGTCAAAGCCTGGTCTTCCGGCAGTTTTGGCACCTGTACATGGAACGTTCCTTGTCGCTGGTGCCGACTTTGACGCCTTGGGCGTGCCATCCTGGAAAAATTGAGAAGACGATTGGTCTCCTTGGTGGGAGAGCAACTGGAATATTAATCGGATTGAGTTTTACAAACAAATTGCTGTGTGCCTGAGTGAATTTAAGGGTTATTAATTACGGGATCCACGGAATCATTGTCTGCGTTCGACCAGGGTGCCAGCAGAATGTGGTAGTAGCGTTGCAGTTTCGCGAGGTGGGTGGCGATCGACGAGGAACCAGATCCTAGCCCTTGGTGGCTCAACTGGTTCACATGGTTGTCCTGAGAACTGCGCTCGGGTTCCTATCGTTGGCTGTGCAGCAAGGTGCAAACTTCAATCTACTTTCTGCCTAAGAAAGACAATCATAATCTGGGATTTTGCGTTATTTTCATCGTATCTGTGCCGCCAGGTAACATAAATCCCGTTGATGGCAACATGAGTTGGCTGCAAGCAAGCATAGGAAAGAAATTTCATTCATAAAGTGCGGTGCTATAGCATGGAAATAGCTGATTCAAGTGGTGCTCTGAAAAAGAAGCCAATCACGGGTACAATTGAGAGTGACTGTCGGCCTCGAAATCTCCCAAACAGCACTTGAGCTTTCGTTGAAGCACTTCAACCTTCATTAACGAGAAGGTGGGACTTTCTGTTGCCGCAATTAAATACAGTCTCTGACCAGCCCAACAGAAGGAAAAAGCCTGAATCTAAAGCAGCCAAAGCAGTTCTTGACTTCTTCACTCGCTGTCTATATGTCAGAAGTTTGAACACAGCCCAAATCTGCCTCTGATCAACGTTGACCTTATTAACAGTCCGACGCCGTCACCTAAGAAGCCCAGCAGTTACTCACATTAAAGGTCATTATATTGGTTTAAAAAATCGTTATTCTTTGTCTTCGGGCAGCCTCGCTATTCGGAAAAGCTGTCACTTTTGCCTGCAAATACTCCCAGAAAAATTCGAATGTATCTCGGCATTGTATAAGAAAGCAAGATGCTAACGGGCTTCATAACACTAAGGTGTCATAGAACATCGAATCTTGACTTTGATGGAAAGGGTTATTAGAAGCGTTCAATTTGGATAATGATTATTACGGCCACCTTTTCAACACCTCAACACCTCAACACTTCAACACCACCTAGTTCGACCAGATGCTGCGACCTAGTTGCTCTTGCTCCATATATATCATGCATAGACTAAATTCTTGTCTGATTTTTGTTCTGCTTCAGGTTTTCTATTGCCTGATACATAACGACCAACAGCTTTTGGTCCGTTTAGCTCAAGCAAATTGGAGAAATCCCTTCATTCATTCTACTGAGTGACAGGTCAGCTATCTATCTAAGCATCTTGCGATGTCTCTTCTCTCTCTCCCACCGGAAATTATTTTGCTCATTTCAGAAAATTTGGACTCGCCAAAAGACCTCCTCAGCTTCCTCCGAACAAGCCAAAAGTTCTACCATCTCTTGATCAATGAGCTCTACCAACATGATATACGCTTGAACGGTGGATCGGCCCTTTTATGGTACGCAAGTCGTGGGGACGAACTTGGAGTCCGGAATATGCTTCGTGCGGGTGCGGATGTTAACATCCGATCACCAACTCGCGCACAGTCGACAGCTCTTCTGGAAGCGGTTTCTACCAAGCGTACCAATGTTGTACAAGCCCTTCTAGAGAATGGGGCTTTACCAGATGTGGCCGATGCCCGATCTAGACGACCCTTGGTTTTGGCGACAAATGGTCGTAGCGACGTGGCGATCACCAAGTTGCTCCTAGATCACGGCGCCATAGCCAATTCCGTTGCGTTTGACAAACATGCTCCATTAAGGGAGGCTGTCCGTTCAAACCAGGAGTCCAAAGTGGCATTGCTTTTGAAGCATGGGGCTGATACACATATCTTGGACCGCCGAACTGGGATGAGCCTCGTGCACCTCGCGGCTTCCAAGAACGCTACCCCGGAATTATCAACATCCTCATCGGCTCCGGTGTTCAATTGGAGTCTCAAGACAACATGGGCAGAACGCCACTTCAAGTAGCAGTTGACCATTCATGCACCCGCGCTGTGCGCCTGCTATTAAAGCTTGGCGCCAATCCAAACTTCAAAAACAATAATCAGTACTGGAAAGGGTGGAGCGCACTTTTCTACGCTGCAAGAAATCCAAGCATTCCAGGGAATGGCAGAAAAAGCATCATTCGAGCGTTATTTCTACATGGGGCTGAGCTCGATGCTAGAAATCACGCTCAGAAGACGCCTCTACTCCATGCAATCTCTAAGAGCGCCATAAAACAGGCGCAAGCTCTTGTCGAATGTGGTGCCAGTATTATGGCTACAGACGCCAATGGAGAAACGGTCCTCCATGTGGCTGCTTCCTCATCGAGCTGGTGTCCCAGTATGGTGGGCTGGCTTGTTGAAAACGGCGCTGATGTAAATTGGGTCGGGGGTACACATAGTGAAACCCCAATTTTCTACGCTATCCGAAACGATTTTAACCGACAAGGCATGGAATGTGTTCGAGCGCTTCTGTTGCTTGGAGCTGATGTTCAATTTCAAAACAACAATGGGCTGACGCCTCTTTCCCTTGCTGTGCGCATGGGATCTATTGAGTCAACAAAGATTCTGCTCCAACATGGAAGCTGTGCTAATTCGAGAGCCAAATATGGCAAATTCCCCCTGCATTATGCTGCCGAAGCACGGAATGTTCACAAGATTGTCAAACTTCTCATTCAATACGGGGCTCATGTGAACTCTCGGGATATGCTTGGATTCACGCCATTGCATCGAATTGTCGCCAAAGAAGAGACGTGGGAAGCAGCGGGGGGTTGTTGAAGGCCGGGGCTGATCGATACGCCATAGCTGATGATGGAAAGTTTCCTCATGACATGGTTCCTGATGGCCCCTGGGCAGAAACGAAACGTTCTTTGATTCGTTTTTACATGTCGTGACTGGCGTCAGCGCACTCAGCCAACTCAGCCAAATAATTTCTTGTCAGAGGCCTGGGGTGTACGAGAGTATTATGAAATGCACGGATTTACGCTTTAGGTGGGGAAGGGGCTCTCAGTTAGCCAATCAGTTAAGTCCTGCTGTACTTCAAACCACGCTGTACACCACATTTGCAGGCTCTTTATATCGCTGGTCACAATTTCACGCCTGCTATTGCTTTTCCTCACGTTGACCATACGTTGACCCCCCTTAATAAGTGAACTAACTTTCATCTTTACGGTTTTGTCGATTTATTTACAGTCAGGTCGGTCTATTTTCGTTTGCATTTGAAACGGCCAATGCACCTGACCGATGTCTTGATTTCATACAGATTTTTATGTTTGAACAGACTTATTTCTACAATACGCACTGTTTAGTGAGCCGTAGGATAATGGCATTTGAACGCCGGCTCAACGATCAAAATTTTCACGTTCAAATATTGAATATATCTGTCTCAAATGCGAAACCTGGTTAATAATGAGCTAGATATATTCTGCTAATAGCGTATTTTCTACTTGGGCGATAGAATATGTATATGGGTAATATAATATAGGTGGTAGGTCGATCAATAACGATCGTATACTAATTTATTACCTTATCCGGAAAAAGCGGCCCTTTGTTCAAATGTGAACACTAAATTATGCTAGAACCACAAAATGAGTAAGGAGATTGATGAAAATCTAACGACGCAAGCCTTTTCTTTGGTGGGCTTTAATTTTTATTCAGAACACGAGCGACTAAAATCAAATAGGAGTGTCCATGAATAGACATAGGGTGTGTATTTGTTCTACCTCCTACATTCCCCTATACACAAACAAGCAAGAACGTCTCTCTCGAAGATATCACAGATTGTTAAGGCAATTCATGTTTGAATGGGAGGCATACACCAATTATTAGCTCTGCTGGGTTTTTATGGTTAGGTTTAGTTGCCCTATTTAACGGAAGCCTATTTATCACGGGAGCCATCTTATACCTCAGCATCACCAGATTGCCGCTAACTATCCCAGGATTTGTACGGTAGCAGCACTCCGCATGGATGTAGACATTAGATTTGTGCCTCATAAATATCACCAGATGCAGTTATAAGGGTACAAATTCAGTCTATTTAAAGCATACCGAGCACCAATTGTGGGAATTGGCGACTTCCCTTAACGCTCCACCTTGAACTTGCGCGATCTGGTTAGCATCTCTCGTACTGTAGTTAAGAGTGCCACTAGACCGTAATTGGTGGTGATGTATTACGTCATAATAGCTTCGCCCGCGTCAACTTGAAACAGCATATTCGAATACACATCTTATTTGATCTCTTTTGGTCTGATTGGTTGCTGCCCGTAACCAGCATACTGGATCCTCCGGAATCGTCAGCTAGCTTTGACTAATCGTTGCCTCATCGAGTATTGTTGTCACCTGTACCCTCCACTAATAGATGCTCAAACAAGAATTGATATCCAGGCTCTATCCACTTCTTCCACTGCGCATCCCCCGGTTTCAATGTCAAATCAAAGATATGCCTTCTGCGTGGCACCACTTGCACCTCACCATCCAGACCTCTCGCCTTCATCTCCTTGATGAAGGTCACGCTCATCTGACATGGGACGACCTCGTCTTTCTCCCCATGAATGATGTACGTCGGTGTGCGATATGACCCGTCGCGTACGTGTGCCAATGGACTTAACGACTGGATTTGGATTGTAGTGGGTAGTAGTAGTCTGTTCAGTGAGCCCGTGAAACCGTTGAGGAGGAGAGAGAGACCATTGCCACCAGCAAAAAGATTCAAAATCAGTTCCGAACGCGGATCGCCTCGGCACAGGAGGCCGAGATTCTCTTCAGAGGCGCCGATACCCTTGGGGCCGTCGTAGTGGGAGATCTGCTCACCAACGTTCAGCATGAAGATTTCCTTCGCGGTGGAGGCGGCTTACCACTTTGCCGGAGAGGGCTCTTTCAATGCTCTCAACATCCATGGTGGGGGCGGGGTATGCTCCTAGATCTCGGAGAGTCCAATCTGGGATAATTCATCAGCAATCCCAGCGAAGGAACCAAAGGGTACCGTTCCGAGAAAACGCACACTCATGCTCAAAGTCCGTTGGGGCGTAAAAGCTCAGAATCGCGGTCGGAGGTTTGACGCCTTTTTCGAAGCAGGTCCAACCCGTTGTTATCGCTAAGTGGCCACCAGTGCTCCAACCCACTACGACCAACTTGTCCACGTCCACCAGAACTCCTTGCTCTTTGGCGATCCCAGGTAAAGTAGTCCGGGCCCAAACCAAGGCATCGCAAATATCGGTGATAGGTCCAGAGTGCACGTCAACCTCAGGACACAAGCGATAGTCAAGGGAGATGGGTAGGAGGTTGTTTGTAAGAAGATACTGAGTTTGGTGAGGGCGGATGGCTCGCCGGGAGAGAGTCATATAACCACCGCCATGAAGCATCAGTGCTAAACGGATTTTTGGATCAGGGAGTGGTAATTGTAGAAGGACAAAGAATGCCTACCTACCGATCGGCATCGGTTTGTTCCTGGATCGATCTTGAGGCGGAGGATAGTAGATGTCGGCTTCAATTGGTAGATCGTCGACCACTTTATATGGCACTGTCCGTAGCTCGTAACGCTGGGTTTCATTCTTGGTTCCGATCTTGTGAAGCCTAGTCGAACCGATGATGATCTGTTGCGTAGTCGACTCCTTTGTCGAACCTGTGGTCCATCCGCAGGAGCCGAACCCGGCTTCCTGAAGATAGCTAACCCATGCATGAGGTGGTTGCAGGGGATAGTTTCTCCCGTCTTTTGCTGACCACCAGCCAGATAGCAACCCAAAGACGAGATCGAACCAGTTGATGTTGCGTGTCAGTTCCAGCAGCACCACGAAGCCGTCTTTTCGGAGCATCGATTTAATGCGCGTACAAGAACGAGTGATATGGGACGTGGCATGCACCACATTGGTTCCAAGGACGAGATCATACTTCGCTTGCAGGGTGGCTGGGGGGTCTTTTTCCAGGTCCAGGGTACAGAAGTCCATCCAAGGATACTGCTGCGAAAATTTCCTCTTTGCCACATTAACCAGCGTGGGCGAGATATCTGTGAATGTGTATTGAACGGCTTTGTTTCGAGATTGGAGTAACTCGCACAGTTGTTTCGTAGTACCCCCGTACCAGCACCGACTTCAAGAATCCGGAATGGCGCTTGAAGATTGCCTCGCGGTATGACTCGGTCCATCAGATCGAGGAGGAGATTGGTCGATGGTTTGAAGAGCGGTGAATCGCTGTAGAACTTGTTGAGCACATCTTTTCCGGTTGGAGTTCCGAACAGCAACCGAACAGCATCCTCTTGCTCCGTCAAACATCGAGCCAAATGAGGCGCAGTCACAGATATCAACTGAGCGTCTGTGGTGTACTTAGGATGGGAGGTAGTCAACCGATCTAACAAGGCCTCAGGAAGCAAGCTCGGGAGAGGCTTTGTCGACCGGGTGATCTGGGATCCTCGCCTTTTGACGATTCCGTATTCTGTGAGGATATCCCACAGACGTGATACGAGCCGGCTGTGCTTTGGCGAGCAATCGAGCTCCGGGACGGTCTCACCCTCTCGGAGGTCGCGGAGACGTATACCCAGTTGCTCAAACGCTTCAGTAATATAGGCGACGGTCAATTCGTCCTGTTGGAGCACAACTGTTTCCCAATAACCAGTCAACCCATGGCGGTCAGCAGCCGCAGTAAATAGACTCTGACAGTCATTGAGAGCCTCAAGAGGGTCGCGGCTGGGACTGCTGTTATTATCGAGGCCTGTATTTCCTAAGCACTCGTCCTTTTGAGAGAAGGAGATGGCTGGTGGTTCCAATGAGGTGGGTGAACGATTTGGCGGGCTGCTGGATGGGGTCAGGGGCTCGTAGACAGCGTTCGACGCCGCACCCACTGTGGAAAGCAAAGTCTCCACGGTGGTGCTCAGGTCCAGCTCGAGCTCACTTCCGTAAATTTCCAAAGCGGACTTCAGCTCAATTAATGATAGAGAATCGAATCCAATAGCATCCAAACTCGCAGTTTTCACGATCGAAGACATATCGACTGCGGCATATTCGGCGAGCACCTTGTACACAGCATCCTTCAACGCGGAGGTTTCAAAATTGGGATTTGATGCGACCTGTGTCGCATCAGCTAATGGTGGACGCATCGGCTGCAACATATTGCGATCGGATGTCTGGTTTAGAAGAGAGACCAAAGCAGTAACGGTGGTAGATAGGTCAAAATCCAGCTCTACTCCGAATGCTTCCTGGACTGAAGATATGAGCTCAATCAAGGAAAGCGAATCAACACCGAGTGCCTCAAACGTTGCGTCTGGTGTGATTGACTGGACATCGATCGCAGCGTACTCAGCAATCAAGGTGAGGATATGCTCTTGCCGCCCAGAGTTGATAGAAGTTTGGTTGAAAGCCGGAGAGAGGAAGGAAGATACAATTCCCGTAGAAGCACTCCTGGAAGGATTCGTTCCAGACAGTGTCTTATCAAGATCAGGCGTCCAACTCTGCATTTTGGGCAACAAACGAACAATTCCCTCAATATTGGTCGCAAGAACCTCGTTACTGCCAATTTCAACATGAAATCGCGACCGCAGCTCATCCACCAGTTCAATGGCTGCCAATGAATCAACACCCAAGTCGGCTATCGCAGCATTGATTGAAATCTCCCCAGGGCTCAGTCCGATAAATTCAGCCATAACTTTCTTGAGAGCTACAATGCTCGCCTCATCAATTCCATTCTGTGTAGATGAAGTGGACGGACCTTCATTGAGGACTTTGGGTGCCGTTGTGGAAGGGGTTGGGAGGTGGATAGCCGGGCAGGCACTGAATTGCTGATTCAGTCTGCTCCGGGAAATTGTGTCGTCCTGAGTAACTGGACCTAGAATTTTATGAAGCGTGCTGAGTGGCAGTTTAGAGAAGTGCATGCCAGTGATTGTCACAACTAAGGCCTCGTCGTTGTCAAGGACAAAAATATCTCCTGTTGCCTTGGCATCGCCCACGGCACAGAAGGAGGCATATACGCGCCCCTTTCGCATGGCTTTAAAATCACAGCCAGGGTGAACGACGATGGAATCTGCACCGGTGGCGAGATAGGCCTCGTCATCTGCGCAGAGATCGCTCGTGTTGACCAGTAGGCCCAGGACCTGAACGTAGTTATCCAGAGCTATGGTATCACAGGCACTAACTGCAGTACTTTCTTCCGTGTCAGAAGCGGCCGGTAGAGCTAATTCTGCCATGACCTCAGTTCCAGCCATCACGACCACGGAGATGCCCTGCAGAATTGAGGAATAGTTTACCACACGGGAGAACAATTTATAAGCCCGGCGAGTTCTGAAGGTCTCTGTCGGCGGTGCGATGGCCATGAAGTTGCTCAAGCGCGCTTTGACAACTCTCTGTTGATACTGGAACTGTCTCGCCTGGTGGTCATCGAGGGCGGCAAAGAGCCTGAAACTGGCCTTCGCATGGACAGTCGATTTGGACTTGAGATTTCCAATTGCCGAACTCTCCACGGTAAACGTCCAATCAGGACTGTGTTTTCCTCGGATAGTCAAATTGACAGCCCTGCGCGTGTCGATCCCAAGTGGGGCGTCGATGCGGAAGTCCCATAATGAAAACCCAGGCCTATCACCGCTATCTAGTACAGACGTCGCAGCCATTATAACGAACTCAATATATAGGGCAGCTGGGCACAGTGGATGGCCGATCACATTGTGGCCTGTGACAATGGACCGAAACCGTTCGGTCAGCGTACCAACGCCAAAGCACAAAGTGTGAGGATCTTGCTGCGCGTCTGTCAAAGGACGGACCAATTTCAACGAGACTCCCTTCGATTCTGTTCGAGGCTCTGGTGCTTTGAGAGTGCGAGTGCGGAGCGCATCCTGGATCGGGTCCACATAGGCAAGCCAGGCTTTCGTACGCTCGAATGAGTAAGGGGGAAGCCATATCGGTTTGACTCCAGCAGTCTTGAAGTTAAAGAAAGAGACGGGAACGCCCTCACGCCATAACTGCGCAGTAGCCTCGCTAACTGCATCCATCGGATTCTGTCTAGTGCCAAGCTTAATGGGTAGAAAAACGTGCTCTTGAGGAGCTAAAACGGCCTTTTTTATCATGGGAATGATTGGCGAATCAACGCCAGCTTCGAGCCAGATGCATGAGCCGAGATGCTGCTCCAGCCGGTGCACCGCGTGATAGAAAAAGACCGGCCGCCGCATGTGCTGAGAGATTCGCTGGAACGAAATATGGCTTACTGGGTCGCGCGTACTACTCTCCACGGGAATCTGCGGGGAGGAAAAGTGACATCGCTCGGCGGCCTCGTCGAGGTCCCCGAGCAATGACTCTGAGAATCGGGAATGGAAGCCGTGCGTGGTGTCTACCTTGGAAGACGCTATGCCTCTAAAGGAAGGTTCCTGGAGCAGAATATTCTCGATGGCGGCAATCGCGTCAGCTGAGCCAACGATAACATGGCTTGTCGGCGCATTGTAGCATGCAATCTCGACTTCTCCCGAGCCGTCAGGCAAACGAGCGATGATGTCGTGAATCACTGCCTCTGTACCGTGGATGACAACCATAGTCCCTTGCTCAGGGCCCCACTTCGACTGAATCAACTGCGCTCGGGTCCTGACGAGATCCATGGCATCTTCCAGGGACATCACACCTGCAACTGCCATCGCAGTCAACTCCCCGAAACTGTGGCCGACGACAGCGTCAACCTTCAACCCGGACTCAATCCATGCCGTGGCACAAGCATATTGCAAGGCGAATAATGAGCATTGCAACAGGACCACATCACAATGGGGCTTAGTTTGGAAAATCCACGGATAAAGGGAGGGCGACCCGCTCCTCACGAGATAATGATCACATCGGTCGAGATGCTGTTGTAGAAGAGGGCAAGATTCATACAGCCCTTTGTGGAGCCCAACTGCTTGCTTGGCTTGTCCACTGAAGGCCAACACCAGCTTTTTGGGAGTCTGTGGGACTTCAGTGACTTTTTCCAAAGCATCGAGGCTCCCCGACAGTGTCGAGATATCCTCAGCGGTGCACGTCCAAGCAAATCGCTGCGGCTTTCGACACTGAAAAAGGGTTAGTGCCACATCGCCAATTTTTGGTGCAGATCCTGCGAGATACTTCTTCAAGCTTCTCGCATTCGCCGAGAGACTATTTCTCGACGCCGCCGTCAATATTATGGGATAAGGGGAAGGCAACCTCGGGTAAGGAGCTGCATCGGGTTTGTCCTGCTGGGGACTTTGGCAGAGCAGCAAGGCTGCGTTGCTTCCCGCCGCGCCATAGCTGTTCACACAAATTGCCCGGAATGGCGCCCTCCATGGTTGAGTTGCGGTCGGGATGACCATCTTAGCAGGTTCAATCGACGGAATCTTCGGATTAAGGCGTTGGAAATTGGCCATTGGCGGGATGAGGCCTTTGTTGATCATGAGAATGGCTTTGATCACCCCTGCCACACCCGCCGCACACTCACAGTGGCCGATGTTGGCCTTGATTGATCCCACATACAGTGCATGTTCTCTTGTCGGACTGGCGAATCCCCGCCTAATGCCTTCGATCTCGACGGGATCTCCGACCTGGGTGCCCGTTCCGTGGGTTTCCACGTATGTGACGAGCGAGGGACTCATGTTGGCCTCTTGCAAAATGTCTTTGTACAGCTGCAACTGCGAGGCAGTGTGCGGAACAGTGATGGACTTGGGGTCACTGCCTTGGTTTGTGGCGATGCCCGGAATGACTGCGAAAATCTTATCGTGGTTGGCCATGGCCTCCACCAACGGCTTGAGAACCAGCAAGCCGACCCCCTCGCTCCGGCAGTAACCGTCCGCTGCCGCATCAAATGGCTTGCATTGGCCTGTTTGACTGAGGAAACCTGCCCTGCCTAGGTCGAGAAAATGTGTTGCAGTCCCTAGGAAGTTGACGCCTCCAGCTAAGGCAGTCGTACATTCTCCGCGTTGCAACGCTCGGCAGGCGCGAGATATCGCTACTAGAGATGCGGAGCAGGCAGTATCGATGACTTCGGATGGCCCCGTCCATCCGAAATAATGGCTGACCTTGCCACTCAAGAAGGCCGTGATCGTTCCCGTCGCGGTGTACGCGTTCGGTGCGTGAGCAGACGTATGCTCCAGATAGTCAATAAAACTGGCGCCGAGGAAGACTCCCACACGGTCACCAGCGTCTCGGCGCTGGGTGGAGCAGATATATCCACTCGATTCCATCGCCTGGTAAGCAGTCTCGAGCAGGAGGCATTGCTGCGGATCCATATAAGTGGCCTCTTTGCTGCTGACTCGAAAGAATGAATAATCAAAACAGTCATGGTCGGTGATGAAGTTCCCATAGAATTTCTGCTTGCTGGCCCATTTGCAGTCTGACTGGACGCGAAAGGAGTCCTGGAAGTTAATGCGCTCTGTGGGCACTTCTTGGACCATGGACTTTCCCGAGGATATGACCTCCCACAGCTCTTCCACACTATTGGCGCCTGGAAATCGACCGGCTAGGCCGACCACCGCGATCGCACGGGAAGACTGGTCCGTTGGGATGCCAGGACTCGGTTCCAGTTCCGGGGCTCGGGTAGGAGACATGCCCAAGAGGGTGAACATGTCCATCTTCGAGATCTGGACCCCAGCATCCCGGAAAGGCTTGAGGGATACGCAGTCTCCGATTCCGAACGCTGCCAGGAAATGTGTCGTTCGGCCGGTGCGGCTCAGATCCATGGCCACTTCGGACAACAGCTGATACCACTCGCACTTGTCGACGAGGATTGTCCGTGCAATCTCGAGCGAGAAGGAGCCTTCCGTGCTAATCTTCGTCGTCCGGTTGGACCTGAAGGGAACCAGGGCACAGGCCGCGTGGGGAATGCGCAATTGCTCATCCGCGTCACAAAACTTGGATAGCTCTTCCACTAACTGGAGATTGTCGGGATGGTGTAATTTCCCTCGCAGGGGTATCAACTGCACGGTCAACTTTTGCGCGACGGCGAACTGCTGGAGCTCCAGTAAACACCTCGCCGGTCCCACGATGCTGACCGTTCTGGCATCCGTGATGGCCGATATATGAGTCTAAGACCAGGCGAGGTCAGTATCAGTCGGTGTCCAGTTCGCCTGACGTCATTTTCGATGGTGTTGGGGAGAGAAAGGGGGGGGAGCGGATGTGGACATCCTCCATACGCACTCCTGGAAAAGACTTAACGATCTCTTCCGCTTGGCCTGCATGTTTCAGACGGATCACCATGATGGTCGACATTTTCGACGGGTTGTCATCTCCCACATCCCCCGCCGCTCCAATGCCCACAGCGATTCGGATAATTTTGCACGCATGGGCGACAATTTCTTCCTCGTCACGGGCGCAGGCCACGGAAACGGCCGCCAGCATCCCCCCACAGTACCCTTGAATTCCGCCTCCGCTGTGGAAATGGTTGATCATCTCATGATGGGTGCGGTTCGTCTGGTCCAGAAACTGAAAGTACTGGGCCAGATGGATGACTAACAAGAGAGGGAGCGCCAGCATCCCCGACGGCACCCCGTCGAGGGCACCGATGCCCTCCTCATCCGAAGAAATCCAGTCGGACAAGTTCTGGAGGCATATGGGGCCATCTTCCAACGTCGCAAAGCCTGGATGAAGCGGCCGGAACGCTGCCCAAACTCGAGGCAAGTCTTTGATGGCTTGTACCAACGGGACCAGGACCGCCTTGCTCCGAATGTAGGAGCGCAGCTCCGAGAGGTATCTATCGGATGGTGTCTTGCTCTGGGGACCAAAAATCGCCAGCGATGGAAGAGGGCCGGAGAACCACGGAGAGGCCATCATGAAGCGGCAGACCTGGAAGGGAAAAGCAATGCAGTGCTAAGAAAAGTTAACGCGCAGCGTCGGAGCTGCAGGAAGCGATGGAGATTGAAGTTGGATATTCGGTTCCAGTATAAGCCTTTTAAACCGCGTTGCTCCACTGCTCATTGTGATTTTATCACGGTGGGTCTACTCACGAGCAGGCATTATCTCGTCAAGTGGGTCTCACCAGAGAACTGGACGCGGCAGAGAAGCTTAGCTGGCTGGGCGCAACTCAATCCACATGGTTGTATCATACGAGGTTGTCGGAACGTGGTCGTTACAGTACGGACTAGTACGGGCATAGCCAATTGAGTACTTGAGAGTGTGTTTTTTATATACTATAGAAAGTGCAGAATAAATAGGGGATGAGCTTAGTAAGGTTGTTGAGAGCCTTACGATCATCAGGCAGAGGGGGTGCTGAATATTCCTCGGACGCACTAGTAAAATTGCGACCCTCTTTTGTTGACAGAGGTCACTCCGTAAACTACGGAGGTTGTTGAAAGTCACGGCCCCACCTAGTAACGTACAGTAATTTACTAGCTAACGGGTCAACATAACCGAACAGTTGAATCAAAAACACGTAGTAAATACGAGAAAATATAACTGTATATCTCAACTGTTACGTGCCAGTCAAAAGGAAGAGATCAATTAGTGCGAATAACGAGGGTAACGAAACCAAAGGAAAAAACCGGAGAGAAGAGAAAAGGTAGAGTTTAAGATCGTGGAGGTTCCTGATAAACCACCTGCCACGATTTGCCTTATTTGCGTGCTTGCCATATTCCTTCGAAGTCCGTCCTAGGTTCCCCCACAGTAAGGGATAGTCTTAGATCGTCACATTAATATAGCTAGTTATTATTATTACAATACTAGTGTATACCAGTTTCAAGTATAAAGAATGGCTGAATAGTATATTTAGTGATATAACAGCGACGGTTCATAAGTTTTAACACCCTCCATGGACCCCATTACTAATTACGTAATTTTCTGCCGGTTTTATGTCCCCAGGAAAAGCGGAAGTGCCCTTAGCAATTCCCCCGGTTTTAAACCCTCATGCCATTTAACTAATACTGTGTATACCATCCCTGACTATCAATAATTGCTTGTACCCGATGCGGCATGGTCTCAGAGAGATGCTTTAGGTGCTCAAGGTTCAATTGGTCCCATGCAAGCTGTGCTGTAGCTATTAAAATAGCCTTTGTCTGCTCATTATTCTTCATATCAATAAGATCAGGCCGAAGCTTATAGATCTCGGCCTTCATTAACGCCCAGAGGTTTTCAATTGGGTTTAAATCAGGCGAATGTGGCGGCCATTCCATTACCTCGATCTCTAAATCCCGTAGAGCGTCCCGGACGACGTGGGCAGTATGCGTTGGCGCATTATCATGCTGAAAAATCGACCCTTCATTCGATATTAAGATAGGTAGAATTCAGAGGTATAGATCCCGGATAACGAAGCGGTTTATACCGCCACGCTCTGATTCCGGATCTCCGAATAGCGGAATCAAGCCAGTTCGACGGGTAGCACCCGAGAAAGCAGCCCAAAACATCTGCTTAACTTGCTTTCCCCGTTGTGGAAGGCCTTGAACTTGTCCGAGTTTTGGCTGGTCTCTTGGCCGAGTGAATGTCCATTCTCGACGGATTCCGATTCCACGTTCTACCGTACATTCATCGGACCAAAAAACACGAGCCCAATCCTCGGGCGTAAAGTGTTGATAACGATAAGCCCATTGAAGTCGTTTAACGGCATTTTCCTCGGTTAAATAAGGTCATCAACTACATCGTCATTTCCGGAGGTTCTCGGCATTTAAGAGTCGTCAGATAGAGGAGGCTTTAACTTTATGAGAAACCTCAGTAAGGAGATCTTCGCGGGTAATTCGAGGGTTTTCGTGAATAGCGTCTAAGAGACGTACTTTTTCGGCCTCATTTAGCTTTTTCGGTCTGCCAGAACGGGGCTTCGAGACACCTGCACCTCTTTCGTGCTCTTTTTTAATAGTATAGCGTATAGTCGAGAGAGAAATCCACGGGTATCTCTTATGAATACGCTTATAACCCCATTGAGCAGAAGCTCACAGATCCTTTCACGGAGGGCTGGGGTAAGTTCTGAGCGTGAAGGCATTATTGAGAGGGTTTAATGCTTTTTAGCAAAGGGTAGGCTTCATGGATAGGGATAAATAAGCTAAAAAACGCGATGTACGTGTGAGTAGCTAGCGTGTTTGAGCTAGGCGGTGTAGTATTATTAAGAAGGCGGTAAATGGGTGGGTCCAAGCGGGGTGTTAAAACTTATGAACCGTCACTGTAAATAAGGTTAAAACTCAAGGCACTGCCTCTTCGAAGTTTCATACGAGCTGAATCCTGCCTATAATCCCTAAAATTTAGTGGTCCTTATTCGCCCGACTTATCGCTTTAACTCTTTCCAAATAAATCATAAACGGATATTAACGGATAGAATGACATACCTACTAAATACGCTAAATACTGTATATTAGATAGCGGAAATCCCTCACGACGATTACGATTCCTTCGGAGAAACCTAGGCTTATAGTAAAGTTGATCCTTCTTTAAAGCCTAGAAGTACGACTAACTCTATAATAGCAATAGCTGAAGACAGGACTTGATTCAATTATATGATATAAATTATAACCATACCGAGCTTCGAGAACGTCGCTGACCTTTAAGCTTTTGCATACCTTGATAAGCTGGTGACGGTATTCAGGATTTTTGTAGCCGAATTAGCGGTAAGTAATTGAATAAGCTGGTGGGGAAGGACGCTGACTTCCAAAATACTGGACGGGTGCACTCTTTAAGTTTTCGGGACTTGCGCTGCGCCCTATTTTTGTTATCGACCTCCGTAGTACTGGTCTTCCTGGTGCTGACGATAAGCTAGACCAATGCCATAAGCTCCTTTATCGTCTCGGAAGCGAGGTTTTACGTAAATACGTGATAGGCCTGGCCTATGGCAGCAAAGTGATCAAGCCAGCGAGTGCAGTGTTCAAGCTGCAGGGCGTATATTAGAGCAGCGTTGAAATGATAATTAGTGGGTGTCCGCCCCTGGCGGTTGCTTTTTCGAGGAGAAACTTGATCCACCCCTCATTATGAACATGGGGGTTTCAGGATACATCGCATCGATGAGTTGCCAGCTGGAGCCCTGCAACTTCCCACCCCTAGTTTATCAGCCGGCTCACCCTGAGGTAGAGCATGCAACGTCCATCCAGCTCTCCGCCCACCAAACCACGCAGCTGACACGCTTTTGCGAGCAAAACGGGGTCAGGTTTCCATCGATTCTTCAGGCAGCATGGGCCGTGATCCTTCGCTGCTATGTTGGCTCGGACTCCATCCTCTTTGCGTACCGCGACGCAGAATCATCCTTCTGGGTATGTGGAGATCAATTCGACGGATCGGATCCAATCATCAAGCATTTGGAGAGGCAGGACGCATCCAGCGCAACGTGCTGGGCCATGCCGGAGTGCGAGTGGCCACAGCCGGGGCAGAACTTATTCAACTCGTCCCTTGCCATTTACGAATCAGGGGAAAATTTGGGGAATCGTCCTGGTACATCCGGTCAGGAGCCGCAAACGCAAGACGGGTCAAAGGTATGCTCACAACAAAAGAAACGATGCCAACCTCCCTGAATACCGGCACCAGTTAACAGGGTCTGCAGCTTCCCATATTAGTAGAGTTTGAACGACATCCAGGGTTTCTTTCGCTCACGCTGCGCCATGCTTCGTCCGTTCTGGATCAACCGCAAGGTCAACGCCTCGCGAATACCCTTCTAGCGGCACTGGAGGGCATCACATCCGGACACCCCTCGCGGCCTGTTGCAGACCTGGAGTTGATCGCAGAAGACGATTTGCAACAGATATGGGAATGGAACCGCTCCATTCCTAACCCACTGAACTTATGTGCCCACCACTTGTTCGAACAACAAGCGCGCAGTACTTGCAATGATCCGGCCATCGCCTCATGGGATGGCAACATGACATATGCCGAATTGGATCGCTGTGCATCCGTCCTCGGGGCCCACCTCTCCAGTCGGGGTATCGGACCGGAGATGATCGTGCCAATTTGCTTCGAAAAGTGCCGATGGACTGTGGTCGCCATGATGGCGGTGTTGAAGGCAGGAGCTGCCTTCGCTACCTTGGATCCCGCACAGCCTACAGAGCGTCTCGATACCACCATCGACGAGACGAAAGGAACTCTCGTGATCGTGGCGTCATCTCAGGCGGGCAGGTTCGACCGCAGCGATCGCGAAATCCTCACCAACATCCCGGAAATCTGCCAACAGCCAGATGCGCTGCCGTTTACGGCATTCAGCTTGAGTGTGCAGTCCAGCAACCTGGCATATGTCGCCTTCACCTCAGGCAGCACTGGCAAACCAAAGGGCGTGATGCATCTGCATTCTGGTGCATGCTCCGTCATGACCATGAAGGATCGAGGTGGCCAGGACACCGGGTACGGCCCCGGATCTCGCATCCTGCAATTCGCCTCCCAGGCGTTTGCCGCCAGCGTAGTGGAGATCCTCAAAACGCTCGGCAATGGCGGGTGTTTATGTATTCCCTCTGAAGAAACCCGTCTCGGAAACATAGCTAACTTCATGGCGGAGCGAGCTGTCACCCGCGCGTTCTTCACGCCGTCGTTACTCAAGCTTTTCACGCCTGAGAGCTTTCCCACCTTGCAGATCCTGCTGGTGGGCGGAGAGCCAGTCTTGCCAGATCTCATTCGAGCATGGTCCGGGAAACTGAGACTCATCGAGGCCATCGGCATGACCGAAGGAGTTGCGATCCAGACCACGATCACCCCGGACGGTCAGGTGGCCCAGATCGGCCAGACGATGAGCGGCGCTGCGTGGATCGTGGACCCAGAAAACATCCATAAATTGGTGCCCATCGGCGCCGTTGGAGAGCTTCTGGTGGAAGGGCCTTGCTTGGCGAAGGGATATCTCCATGACGACGAGAAAACCAACGCATTTGTGGATATGCCCCTGTGGTCGGCCAATGGTCCTGACCATCATCCCAACCGCAAGTTCCGCCTCTATCGTACAGGCGATTTGGCGCGGTACGTCAACGATGGAGTTGTCCGGATTCAGGGGAGGAAAGACTCCCGAGTAAAGCTACACGGGCAGCGCATCGAACTCGGAGATGTCGAGCACCACATGCAGGCTGGGCTACCAGTCTCGATGGCAGCCGCAGCCGACGTGGTGGCCCCATACGATGCCGATGATCAGCCGTTCTTAGTGGGCTTCGTATTTGCCAGCAAGGAGCTAGGGAATCCAAACGGCCCCGGATGTGACCTGGCATCAGAGACCACACGCGAGCAGATTGCCCCTCTCGTGCCAGAGCTCAAGCTGCAAATGGCCCTTTCGTTGCCATCGTACATGGTCCCAACAGTTTTCCTTCCCTTGGAATGCCAGCCAACGAATACATCGGGGAAATTGGATCGAAAGAGGCTGCGTCAAATCGCATCAGCGCTTTCCATCGAACAGTTCCGGTCTTTCACTCATCGGGCGACCACGACAAAGACACCTCCCTCTACACGCACGGAGAAGATTCTCCAATCTCTGTGGGCGGATTTGTTCAACGTAAACGCAGACCAAATTGGGTTGAGCGACGATTTCATCATGTACGGTGGGAACTCTCTGACAGCCGTCAAACTGGCCGGTCTGGCACGAGCCCGGGGGATTCGTTTGACGGCGGGAGGCATCCTCCAGAAACCCGGGTTGCGAGAGATGAGCCTAGTAGCGAAGGCTGTTGATTCTGCAATGCCTGATCCAAGTGCAGACACCAACACAACCCTTACTTTCGACATGGAGACGCTGCAACACGCCATCTCGCCAAGGGAGATCGAAGCAGTTGCGCCTGCCACGGACTGGCAGGCTTGGGCAATCTATACCGGCTCGTTGAAATCGCGAGGATGGACGGATTACCTTTATTTTGATTTCCGAGGCGCCCTTGACATCTCACGCCTGGAGCACGCTTGCAGTTGCATCGTGGCACACTTCCCCATTTTCCGAACAGTTTTCGCCGTCCACCGCCGACGGATGCTGCAGATCGTGCTGCGAAATTCTCCAGTGGAGCTCATTCAACATAAGGGGAGAGGAGAGACAGATGATCCCGACGCTGTCGCGAAACAGGTTCACGATCGCGATCTCGCTAGCACTGTGTCCATGGGCGACCCAGTCCTGCAGTTTACTCTCGTCCAGCAGGACGTGGAGCACAATGTCCTCGTTCTCCGGATCTCGCATGCACAGTATGACGCGCTCAGCCTTCCTCTGCTATTTCGAGCAATCAAAGACGCATACAACGGCCTAGCTCTCCAACCTGCGCCCTCATTTATGGATGTGCTCCATTGCACGCAGGAGGAGGATATCAAAGCGTCGGTGCGATTCTGGCGTGATCGCCTCCAAGGGTCGCTGATGACGCAAATTCTCCCTCGATCGAAGCCCACCTACCACAACATAGTGAACGAAGCGATGACGCGGACGATTCCTCTCCCTTCCCTGCTGCACCACCGCATCACCACGGCTGCCATTGTCCACGCTGCCTGGTCAATTGTTCTCGGCAATCTCTCGGGCGCTTCCGACGTGGTCTTTGGTAGCCTCATCTCCAGACGTCATTCGTCCCTGAGTGGCATTCAAGACGTTCTCGGCCCGTGTTTGAACATCACCCCGGTGCGGACGCAGTTCAGCCCTTCGATGACTGTCGTCGATCTTCTGCGGCAGGTCCAGGCTCGCCAGGTGGACTCGCTTCTACATGGACATGTCGGTTTCCGGCACATAATCGAGGCATGTACGGATTGGCCATCCTGGATCCGCTTCAGTTCGATCGTCAATCATGTACACATTGCGGAGAACATGAGTCCTGTGGTCCGTCTCCGGGACGACCTGACGTTCCAGTTTGATGTCTTCGAGCCAGCACACGACAAGTCGGATTTATGGCTGCAGACGAAGCCTACCGGGGAGGAGATGGAAGTTGAGCTGAGATTCTGCGGGGCCGTCATTCCCAGGGCACTGGCGGAGCGAGTGTTGCAGCGGTACTGTGAGGTCATCCAGCGTCTTCAGTCTGACGTCGATGCGCCCCTTTCGTCCCTCGTCGGCAGCGAGGTAATATCCTTCAGCCTTCGCGCACCGCGTACTGTGACCTCACACGCCATTCTTCCATTCGTGAAGGCGACATGGCGGGAGGTGCTGTTCCGTGATGGCGAAGACACCGAGAACATCTCTATGTCCACCCCCTTCTATGAAGTGTGGGGAGACCTAGCTGGTGCGACTGCGTTATGCCAGATTTACCGCCGCAGAGGATTTGACGTTAGCGTGGAGGATGTCGTGGATAACCCGACCGTGGAAAAGCAGGCGCAGCTTTTAGCTTCGCACCCATTGCTGAATGGCGTTTGAGAGGAGGCAATATACAATCCCAGGCTCCTTACATGATCCGACATGGTTCGAGATATCTATCTTCCTTTAATCTTTTCCCTTTGTTGCCTCCGTCCATGTGGGTTTTTGTTTTGCGGAAGGACTACCTACCTTCAGATTCCAGATGATTGATAATCAGAATAGCATAGTTATGTCGAGCATGGTTGTCCAATACCACGAGGTGGGAATGGTACACTCACATGACTTGACACCGATGCCAACTAGGCCCTATTTTGTATGCACATTGGGGACTCTAGGCATTTCTGAGGAGCAACTCTCGGGAACCGCGGCCTCTCATTAATTCCGCAGGAACCAGTCCCACCAACATGCAGAGGTATATTCAACATATCCTCTGACCACCCATTCTTTTGGTCTCTCTTTCCTCAATCAATCAGTCTCATCATTTCTATTAGTTCCCCCTAAGATTAGGCCCACTCTATGCATACTAATCTATACTGTTTCGCGCAACCTTCACAGTATTCATACTTTGCCATGGCCGCCCTTGCTTGCATTTTCCCGAGCCTGACAGCGGATTTTACCCATTGCATTAAGGTACTGTCTAAAAATACGGTCGGTGCTAACCGTTCCGTCTCCGGTCATTTAAAAGACCCAGTCTCTAATCCAGCCGAGCATGTGTGAGGCATTTCAGCATCAAGTGCTGGGTCGAGGTGCTCATTAAATAGTATGACATGAGCCTCCAAGTAAAAATGACAGCAGTTGTCGTCCATTGCCAACTGTGTTTTGTACCCATGATTTGAGGGCGAATGACGGTATGTAGAGGACTTTTGCGGGAGCCGACAGGCCTACCTGAGAATTTACTCAGCCTATTTGCCTCCAAAAATCAACCACCGTAGGTGGTGTCCAGGGAGTTGACAGTAACCGCATGTTTGTAATGTATGCATATACATGTTCCACGAATTTCGCCCCTGGAAATTGTATGGTTCAGAGAAGCGTAGAATCTTGTGAGTTCGATAACTCGCAAGGTTCTTGACAGGGTTTCTGGGGAATAAAAGGCAGAGATGGAACTTGAGACCATTAAATGATGGCTTAGACTTGTGCGTAGGTCCGGTGAACGTGTCTTGTGAAATTTAATTCGAGCCAGGGAGGCCAGAAGATTAATTCTAGGGCCCAGAAATAGGTGAAACAGCTCCCAGATGCAGCGAATGCGTTCCTAGACCTATTTCGTATTCCCTGAGGAACTGTGGCAGGATAATACATGAAGCATACAAGATGAACGGAGATACTGTATGATCACGTAATAACGTATTCGGCATGCGAGCTGGCCGGGTAAGCGAGCTGGCCACCCACCCAAAAACGCCTCATGTAATTAGACCGTCTCTATTCAACCACCCACCATGCCACCAATTCGCTCTCAAAGCTCTCAAAAACGTACTGAGCAAGAGGGTAGGATCTTGTTAGCTATTGAAGCCATTCAGAAACAAGAAATTAGCTCTTTACGCAAGGCTGCAGAGCTTTTTGATGTCCCCCGTTCTACGCTCTCGGCGCGTCTTAGTGGTAACTTACCTGTAGGAATGCCCTCCAAATAAACATATCAATGACGGATAATGTCGAAATAGGTCTTTCGTTCTTCCGAGAATTTTTCAAAATCGACTGTCCACTCTGACGATCCAGTCATCGGTGCTTTTGCTGCGTCGTTGTCAATCCTAAAATTCGGAGAAATTATACTAGTGTGAGCAAGCTATGAAAATTCTCCTCGTGAGACAAAGATCTATTAAATCCCTAGCTTGCCATCAAATTCATCCAACTCGCTATGGGCTGGATTATCGGGACCGAGAAAATTCGATATGCTACTATCTGCTATTCAGAATTGACGGCTTCGTGCAATACATCCTCATCCAGTTTTGGCCTGAACACAACCTGCAATCAGTCCTCTTTCCATCGTTGAAAGATCCCACCATTGGCGAAAGCATCAATAGCTTCCTGAGTGCATTCGTGGCAGCGGCGAAATAATCGCACGACGCCCAATCTATCCTTCGGTCAGAGAGTTTCCTTCCCCTTTCGTTTTTCCTTCTGCACAACTCATTTCTCTTGCTGGAGCCGTGACAGGAAATCAATAATCTTCACGAAGTCAACAACTTCGATAGTTTCATCCAAGTCTATCGTAGATCCCTCACCTGACCAACGCTCAACGTAATTCATTACTTCAGCATAGCGACCATATACAATCTTGCGTCGTGTGCTGTGCTCTTCGGTGCTTAATGTTCCACTTTTGGAATCAAGACGGAAGGTTTTCACCGCAGCTTTAACCCCATTGATATTTTTTGGACGCTGGGAAATTACCGCGGGTGAGAGCAGAGACTTGCGTGTCAATTTGATTAGTCGATACGCGTCCCTCAAATTGGCGAAGAAAGACCAGGAATCCTTGAGATCCCAAAGAAACTCTGCGCTTCTCCAATCTTCTCAATGTCAGGCCAGATGGAATATTCTAACTTGTCGGGGTATGCATACCGTGTCTTGTCCCGGGTTCTGGCTCTTCCAAAGTTCCTGAGGTCATGTTTCTTGCTATAAACAATGCCTCAAACACAAGAGAAAGATTGAGAGCTTTTGAGGATATATAATTAAAGAAATGGGAAATTGGATGGTTATATACGTAATGAGGGATGTCCTCCTCATTTTCCGTGAAGTCTCCCTGGGAGTTAGTAGTGGGAGTTCTGGGGGCTAACTCAACGCGTTGAATCGTATTATTAACGAGCGTCATCCAGATATGCCTGTGCAATCGGTATATAGCTTCTATCTGATGACCGTGCAGGGTCGAACTTAGCCGATGTTCAACATTCACAGAATAATGAGGCATCGAGTCATCTCATCAATTTTCTTGCTGTCATAACCATCACAGCGCAATCCGCTCTGATTCATTTTTGTCTTTTTGAACACTCAACTTTCACTTCGAAGGACGTATAGTGGCAAATGGTGCTACGAAGGGGTGAAATCCAGTGTTATTGAAGCTAGCGGTGTAACACAAATTTGCTTTGGGATTTGTCTTTACAGCTGCAGCTGAGCTGCTACAACAGCCGCTGACCCATCAACAAGTTTCTCGGAGTCAGAAATTCGATTACTAAGCAAGTATATCTAGACCGGCCGCAAGTGGCCACCATGAGGCTTTTGGACTTTCAGTGTAACACAGCGCTCGTCTGAACATCCCATCATCACCATCACGAAACAGGTCACGTTCCTGTTAACGGTTCCATCAGTGCTAGGAACTCATCTCTTGACCCTAGGAGTTCTCTTGCTTCCGGAAGCCTCTGAAACGTTTCTGGGAGCAAAGAAACATACTCTAGGAGCCACGTAGCCCTCAGGAAACCCGATGTAGCTTCTGGGGTCTGGTATCCCCACCTCCGGGAATCAAAACCGCGTTCCTGTTGACAATTTGTTTAATTCCTGGGGCTATAATTTGACCCTCTAGGAGTGACCGAATGACGCAGAATTGTGCGCAGGTCCGGTGAAGGTTTTTTGTGAGGACTGTCGGCGATCTCGGAAGGCAAGATAGTGACTCTAGGACCCTAAAGTAAGCTCCCAGGGGCTCCACAGCTCCCAGGGGCTCCACAGCTCCCAGGGGCTCCACAGCTCCCAGGGGCTCCACAGCTCCCAGGTCAAGCCAATGTATTCCCAGAGCCAGTTTCGTATTCAGTCAGGAACGTAAAGTGAAGATGCCGGGGGTAGACCTCGCTTTCCTAGAGATTAGAAATAACTCCAGGAGCTAAACAGCATTTCCTAGGGTAAAAATGGCTCCGAGAAATGCTTCTGAGATTCCCAGGGTTCACATACTGATTCCCAGAGTAAGTTAACAAGCACACGAGTTTGTCAGTCTCACGCCAGCCCCACGAGTTGCGTTTCCTGCCAACAATCTCCGCCTTTTGTGGCACGGCTCCACTGAGATGAATCGGTGTGTCTCTCTAGTCACGCCGTTAGGTATGATGAAATAAGAAACTGAATCTACCAGCACATTTAACGCTATGTCATTGTCAATTTAAGTGAAGCAGCCAGTATCTTTTGGCTAAGGTCTAGTGGTGCCCAGCACTTGCAAAAACGAACCGTCGCCTTGTACTCTGGAATTTTTACAATCGGGATCTCATTTCTTGCTAAGCTTGCTCCAAAAATCTATATCAATGCTACAACCACAGTTGCTGATCACGATGCCGAGTGTCGGTCACGTGCATTCACGTGTGATTCACTCGCTTTTCGCATTTTCCGTCAAACTCGGCTGTAACCTGTGATCACCTACGCTGAGTGAAATTCAGTCGTGCCGACCGGCGAAGCGGTGCAGAAGTAGAAGGTTCTCGCGGTAGATGAGTTCCTGCTAGTCTGGCTGAGCGACGGGGCCCACCAGTGGGAGATGGATCGCTTGCCGTGTGGACGGAATATGTCTCGGCATCCGACGAGGGGATTCGTAAGGGGCGAATGATGGCATCTAGGGCTCCTTCGTTTCGGCTGCGGTCATCAGTATCTTGGTCGTCTCAGAAATAAGGTCATCCACACTTACCACACACAGCATGACGTGCCAAACCCTGTATCTCGCTTTTCCAACCATTCTTCGGCGCACGACAGATGACAGAGCGATGTGCACTGACCGCAGTGCAAGATCACGCTCTCGTCCGCATGGTCTTCATCCTCGGTCTGGCAGAACACACAGTAGATGCTGTCGACGTGGACGCTGTCGACCTCTTCACTCGAGGTGAGACTCTGGAGCGTCAATTCTTGGAAACCAGCCCGGATATTAGTTGCCGATGAGAGGATGGCTGGTCGGGTCGGCGAAACGCGCCATGGAACATTGTTCGTCCGCAGCGTTGCAGAAGTCACAAATGGATTGAATGGCTGCACTGGCTCAGGGTTGGTTGACAGGGGCACCGGTGGCGGTGATGACCGGGTGTTGTCTGATGCAGGGCGTCGCCTGGAGGCTGACGATGTCTGACGCTGGCCCCGATGTACAATGACTGACGGAGAAGCCATTCTGGAGCCATGTGGTACTCGCGCCTGGTTGCAGACGGCGGCTTCATACCACTGCTGGCCAACTTGGTCGGCCTGCCGTTGCCGGTGCCATCTCGCGCAGAGGAAGTCTCTGGCGACATCACAGAGCTTGGACTGCAACGTTGACAAGTCAAATGGCTCTCTGGCGAGAGTGGTCAACTTTTGATGGCCGATCTTGGTGTCTTCAACTTTGATCGAGTTTTTGCACGGCTCGCCTTTTTTCGTCGTCCCGCAACAAGAGCCAGGACCGCCATTGGGGCTGACCTCTATCTCACAAACAAGAAACGGATTCCAAGGCAGCATGGTAGTTATTAAGGTGGTCGTCAAAGGCAGAAAATGCTTCGGATTGTGGTGGTGTAGGGCCATTACTGCAGCGTTCTCTCGCCAGCTTTATATGCCATCGCCGTGGGCTCCTTACCTACATGGCTGCGTGGCTGGCATGGAACACTTCCTTGAAACAGTCGGTACGTGGAAGAATGCATTCACACGCAGTATGCGCCGTATACAGCCGGTCAGTGGCCTGCATGAAGGGATATCATTCCAGACCACTGCTGCAATCAGCTGCACCTGTGACTGTCCATCGCGGTGACCAGGGAGTGGCGAACAGACTGGCTACTGCGGTGAGCAGCAAAGTCGACATATGCTGGGTGAAATTCTGGGTTGCCTATGAAATTCGGAAGCGCGTGATAGGTTATGATCTACTCTTATGGCGCTAGATGAAAGTAGGTACCAAGATAGATTCGGTTTCCAGGCTATCGACATAGCCAGGAAGTGATTTGGCGTTCCCGGGAGCTAGACGCCAGAGTGTGAGGGTCTCACGTATCCGTAGATGAGGACAGCGTATTTAGATCAGTAATCAATATTAAATAAAGCTATAGTCGACTCTAGATACAAGACGTAGCGCGAGGGAGCAAAAGAAAGGTAGCTTCCTCGCGTTCAGGGGAACCCATGTACACCATGTGGGTCCCGCGCAGATCATATCTCCATCGTTCCGTATGCTTCATGTATATCCTTGACATACGGCTATAGTGTTCCCAGGAAACACACACCCATTCCTGGGAGTTATGCATCGAATCTGAATCTCTAATATGACGGACATACGAAAACCGAACCACCTAACTCCTGCGACCTCTGTTTCTTGTCTCAGGGCCAAGTGGCGCCATTGTGACCCATATAAAGGTCAAGCGCCTCGCCAGACAAGCCATATTACAAGTGTACCATCTTCCCGCTACATCCAATATTAGCATATTCGAGCGTTCAACTTTGCTCTAATCCGTTGACGGCCTCCGCTTCCACGAATTCCATCCTATCCTTTTCTTTGAAGAAACAATGGGCCAATACTGGCAGGTGGTTTGCCCATCCAGACGCGAGTACACAACACAGTCATGTGGTGGAAAGCTATCAGAGTTGCTTTTTTCGTCATGGGCCAACATACTGTGTGACCTGATTGAACACGAGTGGGCTGGCACTCGGCTCATCTGTATTGGAGATTACTTAAATCCAGACGATCTCCCTGCCACGATTCAACAAGACAAACTCCACTTGATTTCCGCCGAGAGCGATGCAACATCCAAGCTTCTCCGCTATGATGTCGTTGAGGAGGAGTTTGAACTATGGTCTTACGAAGAAGAAGGGGAGGCAGCGACTCTCACGGCCATGGAAGAATCTGTCAATCCCAAAATTCGACTCCTGAGGAACTTGACTACCAGCCAATATGTCTTCAAGGACAAGTTGCCATCCGGAACCACTCTTGGCCACATAGTTCTGATGCGTATCTGTTGGTCGTCTGATAGTTCAACTAGCATTGCGGGGGGAGGATATTTGACCAAGGGAGAATGGGCTGGCCATGAGTTCGACATTGTAGGTGCTGACATGCTGGAAAATATGGACGGAGAATGGGAGGATGTCGCCGAGGACATCCGCGATGAGATACAGGTTCTGTGGTCGAGCGATTTCGGAGACAACTGGGAAACCGAATGGAGAGCGTGATACTCCATGAGCAAGAAGCTATGAAATCAATTGATATGAAGAATATCCGAGGATACAATCTTAGGCTATCAAAGAAAAGATGAATGGAAATACCTTTGGACACCCTTCCCGTAAATACTCGAGTGAGGTCAGAAAATCTCCATGTTCCTTGGACGAAAATGTGAGGGCTCTTGGTAAAATCAAAGAATGAACAGCTTCCATTGCCTCAGTGTTAGGACCGTAGATTCAACAGTAAGCCAACGTTTCTTAACCGACTCACTTTGACTAATTCTCAACATGACCCTAGCATTTTTACTCGGTGGGCATCTAACATGACACCAAGGATTTTGCCGCAAATAGTTGCGGTAGAACGAAGGTATTGGTTGCACTTAGGATAGGCATCGTGTCCAACGTTTGCTCCCTAGCAGAGCACGTGCGCGACAGGAGCCTACAAGCCTATAAATACGTCCTCTCCCCTCAGCAATTCGTTCCACAATACTGTCACTTGCTGTGTAAAGTCGAGCAGGCCCTCGGTTTGAGGCACCTGATAAGTTCTTCCCT